AGCAGCGCTGCAGGGGACGCTCCGCGCGTCGCGGGGGACGCTCCGCGCGCTGCGGCGACAACAACAGCAAACAGCAGGGCTCAATCAGTCCATCAATAAGGCCATTAATTAATAAGGGGAGGGAGCTGAAAGTTTAGTGTAAGAATGAGACTGTGGAACGCGCATAGGGAGGCCTGATTTTAACGGCTTTTCCAATACAACAAAACTGTCCAGTGAAATAATTTGGGGCTCAGAAGTTTCAGGAACTGTTCACGAGTTAATAATAATAATAATAATAATCTTTAAAATAACTCCCTCCCCCAAAACTTCAGGGTAATTAAGCAACTACCAAAATTGTCAGTGCATATTCTGACCCTGTGCTGCTCTTCCTGAAAAACGAGCTCATTTGCTCCGTTTGTGTTTTACACAGATGCAGAGCAAAATCGATTTTGAAATTTTAAAAATGTATTTTTTGCATTAATTCTCATTCAACTCTTTTTTAAGGGAAGCAAACCATCTAATGTTTTTTAGTTCACAGCTGACTGTTAATGATGCAGAAATGCCAGTGTATTTCAGAATGCTGCATTTTTATGTCTTATCTAAGGTAAATTACAAAAAGCATCACCATGGGCAAGTACACAGACATTCAAAGTGGGGAGGAAATAAAGGCTTGTTAAGAAGCAGTTATTTTCACCGAATTAAAGTTTGTTATATTGCAACAATGTTTTCAGCAAAAACAAAGGGAAGAGGAATGATTTCAAAGTTGGAAAGCATGCACCAATAAAAAAATGCAAAAGTAAGTAAAGAAGATTTGTGATGGAAAGAAACTGTTTTATCCTTGAAAGGACTCTATAAGAATCACTAGATCACCAACACGCCATCCCCTCCACCAGCTGATTTGCCTACAAAGGGAAGCAGCGTCCTACTGCTTTGTCTTCAGGATTGCTGAAAGAAGTTAAAACCATGGTTGATAATTCTGGACTAACTCTATAAATACCTGAAACCTTCAGGAGTGGGGATGATAAGATGAGGATTTGGAGGATCACTATGGCATCGAGGTACCTTTACAGGACGGGGACTGTTTCGATGAATAGCTTAAAAAAATAAAAATAAAAATAAATTAATCACATTTATTCAGATGCCAGAAAAAAATGTTTAGGACCATTTCAAAATACAAGTTTGAGATTGAACAAAATTAAAACAAACTATTTTCCAGAGTTAACAATAAATAGACACATAATTTCTTATTCATCAAAAAGTTCCTAATTATTCCCACTTTAAAAAACACATTATCATCTGTACTATTACATCATGTAACTCATTCATTTATAATAACTAAAATTGTCAAGAGAATGAAAAACTTGCAATAATATGTATATTTACTTCAATAAAACTGCACACTCATTATTTCAAATTCACAGATAAAGGACAATTTGTTATCATAGGGAAAATTAATATTAATGAACCATTTAAGACTTAACATATAAACACTATTATGTTCCCCCTGCATCCAAGTTAGTCTCCCCAGACAACAACGGGAAGCACGATAAGCTGGAAAATAACTCGTAAGGCTTTTCTACCCGTCCTCATGCTCCTCCGATAGGCCATGGGTGACTTGTCTGCCTCAAAGCAAGGGCACAGGGGGGTACCCAGGTAAGTCACCATTCTCTTTATGCCAAGCTCACGCACTGCCCGCAGAAGCAGTCAGCAGGGCCATCCCCTTTCCTCAGCACCTCCTTAATCAGTCTGAACGAGACGGTGGCAGCCAGGACCCAAGGCACCTGGTTGCCCATAGAAGGAGGGGCCATAAGCTGCACTTCTGGAAGCGAGCTGGGTTTGCACCATGCTTGCAGTACCTGGGAAAGCAGGAGATGCCAGGGCCAGCTGCTGGTCCTGTTACAGCTCCCCATCTGCTGTATCTGTGCTAACAGATGGCAGGGTCTAATCTACTCACCTGGACATGAGCTGCTGCTCAAAGGAAAGATAAAAAACAAAACAAAGAACTGCCCCGTTCCCTTCCACCCAAAAAAACCCAAACCAAAACAAACAAACAAAAAAGCCCCCCACACACATAGCTGGACGCTGAGCCTAGCCAAGTACTTACATGCAACTAGATCCTCAGCTTTGGGAAAACGAGAAAAGACCCCATAGTTTAAAATCTATCAACAGGGTATGCAAATGGCACTAGGAAATTTTATTTTGATTATTTATTTATTAACAGATTCTGACATCAGGAGGAGGTATCAGCACTACCTGCAGCCAGGAGGCAGTTTTAACTTAGGCTTATTTCAAGCATATTATATAGTTTCAGCCTGCTGTTCAAATCTGTGCCATCTGTCCATGCCATCCCCACCTGTGCCTGAGCCAAAAACTAACGAGCAATTTAGCTGGTGTGATCAGCTGCCTTTGTAATGGCATTTGTAAGAGCTCCTGTATTTGCAGATTATCGTATTAGCGATTTATCTAAAAAGAGCCTTCCTCTGAACAGCAGAATCAAAAGTGAATGTACAGCTTTTATATCATGATACAGAGTTTGACTGAAATTTACTTTAGACAGTTTTCCTTGTAATAGGACTGGCCTGCGTTTCATCAGGAAAGGCTTCACAGCTATAAGAGTCTTGTCAAAATTATACTAAAACTGAAAAAGATAGAAAAAATTCCATAAATATTCTTGGCCAAGTCAAATTACCTTCCCTTCATTTCTTTTACCATCAAGCCTACACTGAAAGGGCATGTCAAGAGGGAAAAAAAAATCAGGAGGAAAATATGGCATTTTGAATTTTAAAGTAGTCAGTGCTGAGAAAGAGAAAGCACAGCTGAGGAAACATCCTTTTCTCAAGATAAACAACTAAATATGTTCATTTCACCCTCGTGCCCAAGATATTTCACAGTAAGACAAACTATATGGTATTAGAGAACAATTTCCCACAGCTCCAAGCCATTGGGTCCAATTCCTCTATCTTAATTATTATGTAAAACCTGTCAGCACTGTGACCATCTGGAGTGCCACAAGGTAATGCTGGGAGAAGCACTGACTGTCGTCTTAAAGTTAAAATCACTTCTTTACCCATCTTTAAAAACACAATCCTTTCTCAGAAGACCTGTGAGACTCCACAGGGATTTGAGAGAAAAAAGCATATCTAACACTTTCAAATTTCTCAGGTAAAACCACCACCTATTTATACTTTCACAGAGGCTTCATATCAACAATCATGAAAAGCTTGAAAAATATCTTTATTGCTCTTTTTAGCGTTTTAAATGACTTTACAACCAAAAATCTGCAACAATAGCTGCAAAGCTCCAGAAGAAATATCAGTAACTTCTGCCTTACCAAGGTACAAACCTGTAACAGGACTATGAGGTTTTCCAATAACATGGCCAATGCATTCATTCATTAGAGCTTGTAAACTCTAGAAAAGACAAACAAGAATAGCTGTGATACTTCATGCCTCAAAACAGCTCATCAACATACGAAAGAGGGCACAATAATAAAATAATACTGCTTAAAAATGTGATCATTCAAAAACAGCCCCCTGCAATCTATAGCGAGCTTTCGAATTTATGTCTGATTTTGCTTTTGGGGTTTTTTTTTTTTTTTTTTTTTTTAACTAAAGACTTGCCCAAGTATCCAAGAGCTCTGAGCAATTATACAATATAAAAACCTTAAAATTGAATAACAACATATTATAAAAAACATTTAATACCATGATGTTAGTGAAAGCTAAAGAAAATAAATCCATTCTCAATAAAATTAAAAATCATGCTTACTGGCAACAATCAAAAAGCTGTAGCCACCTTTCTGCCTGCCCTCAAAGTAAACAGGTGAGAGTATAATGACCTGTTTCACATGTCAAAAATCTGTAAAATAACAATATAGAGCATTGTATCTTAAAAGAAAAGAGTTTTTCCTACTTATCCAAGAATTTACTAAAGCTTACAGGAAAGGATGTCTAATAGTTAAGTCATTGAAGCAGGCCTAAAGCAATCAAAACTGGATTACTAGGTGTACTTTTTACACTGGGACATGGACAATTTATTAAATCTTGCTCTCATTCAATTTACTCATTGAAACATGAGAGATAAAATGTATGCTCACAGTAACAAATTAAAGTTTTTATGTTCTTAGGTCAGAGGCTATGAAGGCCACTTTTATACACCCACCATTCAACCCAGCTCAAACTTCTCCCAGAAGTTCAACACCTTAAAGAATGAGAATGTGAAGCTAGACTAAGTGAAAAGCAGTATTTAAAACAGTGGTTTAGTCTGTGACTGAAATAGCTAATCACAGGACACGCTGGATGCTTTAGCACTTCACATCTAGACTGACATCTTTCCATGACATCAGGCATTGGTTAAATAGAAGACTGGGATGATCACTGGCTTTTCTAGGGCAAATACTACAACGTGTATTATACATGTGTCAAATTAAATCATCATTGTGGCTTCAAATGATGCTCTCCAAAACTGCAGCCCAGCCTAAGAAAGGAGAAGTTCAGAAATTCAGTTATGGCTTTGGCTCCTCCGCTTTCTGTTGGATTTGTGCTAGGTCTTGCTTTATTCAAGCTTAAATAACCCTGGCTCTGAATTCTTCTGCTTGTTACATGTGAAGCCTCTGTCATGAACATGCACCACTGCAAGAAGTGTCATGGCATCTCTGGTAACTATTATTATGGAAAGAATCTCAGGCTCGTGTACCATTGCTTGCTAGTGTGCCCTCAAGGTCATAAAAAGGTATCAGTCCAATCGAAGGACAAAGTTCACAGAATCCCAGAATGGTTGAGGTTGGAAGGGACCTCTAGAGATCACCTAGTCCAACCTCCCTGCTCCAGCAGGGACACCCAGAGCACGTGGCACAGGGTGGCATCCAGGCGGGTTTGAGGATCTCCAGAGAAGGAGACTCCACAACCTCTCTGGGCAGCCTGTTCCAGGGCTCTGTCACCCTTACAGGAAAGAAGTTCTTCCTCACATGGAGATGGAACTTCCTGTGTTTCAGCTTGCACCCATTACCCCTTGCCCTGTCACCGGCCACCATGGAGAAGAGCCTGGCCCCATCCTCCCTGCAATCACCCCTCAGGTACTTGAACATGTTGATCAAATCTCCTCTCAGCCTTCTCTTCTCCAGACTAAACAGGCCCAGCTCGCTTAGTCTTTCCTCATATGACAAATGCTCCAGTCTCTTAATCATCTTCGTGGCTCTCCGCTGGACCCTCTCTAGAAGCTCCAGTTTATAACTCCAAAGGCCACACAAGTTTTTTTTCACCTTCTTTTTCTCCTTGGAAGTTTCCCCCTCAACGCTCAAGAGACCTTCAAAAAGATCATATCCCTACAGGACATCTGTATTACTCTTTGAAATACGAGCTGCTTCAGGAACTTTGCCAAAGTAAGTAAGTAAGTACAAGCTGAGAGGCTACTTCTGAAAGTAAAATGTTTAGATCAACAACCCTTTCACAGCAACACATAAATGGGATAAAAAGATAACTTACTTGAGTGCTCTTGATGGAAATATAAGTAGTGAAAAGACTAAACTGTATAGTTTTAGTATTAAGCAATATTAATGTGTTATTTCGTAGTGCATCTTTAACTGTGCTTTCAGTTCAGAAGTAATGCCGTAGCAATTTACTGTCATTAAATATCAATTCTGTTGTGCGTCCTGAGATAGCAAAATTAAACATTTTGCACAAATTATCCTTGAAACAAGTTTCTGTTCACAGCTCTTTAAAATCATATCATGTTTCCTTAAATATCTGTGGTGACACGAGAAGGAAAGAGATAACTAAGGAAAGAAAACATCAAAACTGCAAAGTCTAACATTGCATTTTAATGACACCTTCAGTTCAGAATAACTTATTCCTTACCAAGAAGTCATCTTCTGGGAGAGCTGAAATAAACGCTGGCTCAATGGCTTGAAGAAAATCAAAACCTTGAGTTGCCCACCTATCTCAAAGAACAACAAAAGAGAGAAAAAGAATTGTTCTCTGGCTAAAACCATTATCAGATTTTCAATAATATGCAACAACAGTAAATGACGGCTATTTAGTTTTCTCTAGAAAATATGAAAAAAGATCTTTAAGAAAATGGATTAATATATAAAAAGTAATCATAAATTTAACTTATTTTATATTTCCATTCACATTCAGATAAAGCCTGATTTTAGCCAGGACACTCCCAAAGAAACTGAACAGACCATGCTACATATCTTAATCTGCCTAAGTCTGAGGTAGGTGCTGCCTGTAGGAATATCATTTCAATCAATATGACAGAGCAACAAGCCAAGTCAGCATCCCCTCTTTTGAAATAAGATCAAAAGATAAATTACAATTTCATGAGGATCTGATCACTACAATTACTAGGCATCAATGGTTTTAGAACCTAGACTGGTCCAGTAAAACCATTAAGGACCCAGCAGAGAAGTTTCATAACACTGACTCTATGTGAATAAACTAAGAGACCACTAGGCACAAGAGCAGTGTCAACAGACTGAGCAAGCTTGCATTTGGGGGCTTAGGCTGTAGTTGTACCTACAAATTTAGTTACAGTTTCATCCCAGTCAAAGAAGAAAGCCTTGACGCTCAAACCCCTCCATATACTCTGCAATTCCATTATGGATGGGGAAAAAAAGTTCTTTGAGTTAAAGCTGGAAAAGGAGCCATTTGCAAGCAGAAGAAAGTACTTCACACTACAACAAAAACCATCCTCAAAGACATCCTGGCTCAAAACAAAGTTGTCCTGATGCCACCCTGCATTCTGTGCAATCGCAGAGATATATTATTTATACATAATCATACAATAGAAGAATTTGCTCCAGAGCAGAAATACTTTTCCTCACCTATGGATCACACTTTCAGGAGGCACCAATAGAAAGGATGTGTACAGAAAGACCAAACAACTATACCTGCACATCTGCATCTGACATGAAACTATGTCAACGTCTGTGTAAACATTGCTCTGTAAAATACCCAAAGAATGACTGTTGCTTATTCAGCAATATTTATTGGCACCTGATCAAACAGTATTTTTGAATTGTTTGGGTCCAATGATCTGCCCTTTTTCCTCTCATTTGCTGTCAGCTAATGTGTTGGAGGCAAGATGCTGGACAAAATCTTTTGCTTCTGCTTACCCAGCAGTCAGGGTTTAGTTTTGCATTTAGTTTTATGCATTCACTATCCAAGCCACCTCCAAAACTCCGCGCTCAGAAGCCTCAATAACTCAAATGAATTTGTTCAAAACAAGTAAGCATTGTTTTAATGTGAAAACGTTTAAATTGGGGTGGTATTTAGAAGTAATATAAACTCCTGTGACATTAACAAGTTAGCTGTTACCTGGGTCGAGTGCCTCGGCCACTCTCACATTTTGTTAGCACGTAATTCATCCACTTTCTGGCAAAGCTGATATACTTATCTCCAATTTTCTGCCTGAATTCTCCAGACATCAGGCGAACAACTTCCTTATGGTACTGTAGGGAATTAAAAATTACCCTTTATGTATTAATAATAAAATCAAAAATATGATTTGCAACATCCACTGGAGTATTTGCAAGGCAATAAAAGACTAGAATGCATTACAGTTGCATACTATTTTTAAACAATTTTATGCAAGCAGTTAACAATCATATAAAAAATCATCTAAAAGGACATGATATTGCATTTTTGTGTGTATATGAGCGTATACCAGTGTTTAACAGCATACATAGCTTTTAAGAAACAACCTACATAAATGCTCAGCTCTGTAACAACAGATTGGACCTCCAAGTAGTGTTTAGTTTTAGTTAATTGCACTTGATTGAGGGGGTGAGAAGTGGGGTATGTATGTACACTGATGATTAAAACATTGCCTAAACAAAATATTTCCTGGTTATCACTCTAGGAAGGCATTCGAAAGCTACATTCACAGCACAGAAGAACTGTATATTTAATTTGAACCTTTCTTTCAAAGTTTAACAAGTATTTTGCTACTCTAGGCTGGAAAAAAAAAGTGAGAAAACAAGTTGCATGGATGACACTCAATATCAAAGAACATCTATGATTTCACCTAAAATGCTGCCCAGTAGCAGAGCCTACGAGACTGTGCTTAAATTCAGACTGTAATTAGCAATGCCAAGCATATTCAAGAATTTGCTAAATTCAATAGATGTTCTCCAATAATTTTCAATATGAGACTCCTGTAGCAACAAGTATTTTGATAATGTTCTTATTATTTGCCCCAATACAAAGATGATAACTTTATCAGCTTTATCACATCAAAGTTGTGGAAAAATAGATCATTTCATTGTTAACTGTTTCCTTACCTCAAACCCAAAATTATAGCCCTGAATCATGGCTTCCCGGTAGTATTGCTGCAAAGTGGCAGATTCAGATTCATCAACTTCAGCCTCAAACTCGGATGTGAACATGCGATCAACTCTGTCGATGGCACTGCTGATCTTATTGCATAGCTGTAATGCATCACTCTGAGCAAGCACACAAAGGGACGGGGGACCACGTTATTACTATTAACATTCTACAGTTGAGGAGGTAAGGCAACCATGAATATGACAACTGTATCAGTCCAAGTGGAAAGGTGCTTTAATATCATTACAATTAGTTCAGTCTTGGAAAAACACTTATCTGGCACTTGCACCAAGTTCTAAACAAGTCTTATAACTATCTCAAGCACTATAATTCAGCTTGCTTGAATTATAGCAAAAAACCAATTTTCACATCACAAACCTACCCATTTTCGTTCTCCCCAAATTTGGGAGGGGAAAGAGGGACAAGGAGGGAATTTTCTTTCCTTTTCAACCGTGGATTTTGACTGAATCTCTTTTTATGAAATCAAACTCTTTCAAATCCATACTCCTTTGATACAAAGACACAGTTCTTCTGTTTGTATTAACATTTCTACTGTGCTATGGACTTGTTTTCCACTTAGCCAGAACAAACGTGATTATAACCAATATTGCTCAAAAATATATTCACAGATCACTTGCAAAAAAGAGAATGAAAGCTGTACTAGAACTACAGTCCACAGAGGTGGCATAAATTGCAATTGCAGAACACTTCATTAGCACTGCAATCATGATTTTACTTATAAGCGGGCACTGACTGAAACCACCTGGAAGACTGATTACCTTTAGCTGTTGCAGAGCTTTGGCAATAACGGGTTGGCTGGAAGTCTGTTCGTGGTGCAAAGATATGAGCCCTTCAATAGACTGTTGGAAAGCTTTTCTCTGACTCACCAGATGAGCAGACTGAATGACTACGAGGAGGAGGTTATCAACCTAGGAAGAGGAGATACCACTAGTTCTTATCAAGAAAACTCTCAACAAAAAGACTTGGGCCCTGTCAGCAAATCCCAACTGGTTACTTCTTGAATTCTAAAATCTTGGACGTTCTAAATTCTAAATCTCCAATGTTCATGAGAACATTTAATCATATAGAAAACCTCGAACTGGCAAATAAGCTTGACAGACTTTTGCCCAAAAGATGAACAGTTATTAAAGTAAATGTCACCTAGCAGGTTTTCAAGGGAAATATAATGTTACCCATTCCCTGAAAGATGATCATCTTTTTGAAGCTTGGTAAAAAAATTATTAAAAATCGCCTTCAAAAATAGTTACACACACACACAGGTAATATCTGAGAGCAAAAACTACATTGTCTCAAAGTAGGTGCAGGTAACAAGTGTCATAAATAAGCAGGTTCTACCCCGGTAACATAATACATTCAAGGGCAAAATGTTATTGCTGAACAGGGAAAACATAGATTTTACTACACAGTGTTTTTTCAAATTTTGAAAATTTTTAAAATGCAAAAGTGTTTTGAACACCGTAACTCTCATATTGCAGAGCTCTATAAAAATAGAGAGTAACAGATGGTGTTGCCTTTGCTGTGGCACTATGATTCAGATACCAAGCTCCATCAATTTCAAACTGCAAAAAATGCAGATGTAACAAGTTACTGCAAAGAAGGGCCACTTCATCCACATTTTCAGTATCACCTCATAACGATATTTGCACATTATGTTTTTAATTTGATGATATACTTCTATTTTAAAAATGATTTGAAAATTAAAAACAAATTTTTTAGTTTGTCATAAAAATACATTATTAATTAAAAGTTCTTTCTTGGAGATGAAGCACAAAAAGCACACACAGTCTTCCTGAGGAACTGTTTACTTCCTTAAATTTTAATTTCAACATGATTTTAAAAAGACATTTAAACAACATTACACATACTCATACGGCATGTTCCAGGTACATTAATAGATCCCAGATGGAATGCCATTTTTCAAACCAAATTCTGTCTTTTGCCATTTTCACTTTCTGAAGGAAATGATAACTTTGATAAAAGCCCAATCAAATTCTAACAGTCTAATTAAGGGCTAGTTATCTGCTGCTCTGCTGGGCCGATAGGCAAAGATGAAGCAACATGCTTGCACCTCACCCACACAGTGACCTGCACAGAAGTGAGTTCTGGGACTGCCTGAAATCATGAGAGCCGTCGCAGAACGTTAGAGGCCGGGCACAGTGACTTAGAAAGTAACTCTGCTCGTGGAAAACAGAGCCCATTTATGGTAGGGACCCAAGAAACTACAGGGCATACCAAAGGAAAGATTCACTTTGCTTAACATAAGAGTATGAGAGCATAAAGAGTATGAGGGGCAGAGAGCAGCAGCTGGCTCAGTTACTGCAGTGTAGCCGAACAACTGGCAGGGAATCTGGGTTGGCTTGGGATAAGGAAAGTGTGACGGGAAAGATTTCTTTCTGCGGAGCTGCTGAACATGCAGGAGCTTCCCCTAAAATTGAACTTTAAATGTCACAATCATCCAGACAGACTGGAGACTAGTTTTGTCCTCGCCGAGCATAAAGTACTTAACAGTCGTTTGTTCTGGCTCCTTATGAAAATGTAAAGCTTTTAAGTCTCGCCTATGCTTCTGATGCTGAGCATCAAGCTAACATTTCTGCTATCTCTTTGTTACAGAAATCCTGAAAAATGCACATTACAAGAACAATCCTTTTAAGGAATGCTAAAATGCCATGGATGTACTAACACAACCAAGAATTACCACTATGCTTGTATTCAACTTTGAATTACCTTTAAAAGGAAAGATACCTCAGTTTCATTACTGTGGTTAATCTGGAAGGACAAGCATTCACAGGAAGCGTGGAGATCACACAAAAAGGGAAAAACCCACCTGCATGCTTCGCAGCGTATCAGCAGTTTCTACCTGGGGCACTACTTTGACTGGCTGGCCCTCCCACGCGCTCCAACTGTCCTCCAGTTCGTGGTCTTTGTCACTGTGTTTGGTCATCAGTAAATAGGCCTCATAGGCAACCTCATCGGAATCCTTTGAGCAATCCTTTCCTGCAGCTGCATTTAGGAGCTGTAAAATGACAGATTTTTCCCCTGCAATATTACTTGGGACAAATACTTGTAAGTTCTCAAGTCCAGGAATTTGCACCTGTAGGAAAAAAATAATATAAAGGAAAAGTGAATTTCAGTTTCTTCTAAAGACACACAAAATGCATATATGTTATCTCCTACAAACAAAAGAAAGAATTCCCATGTTAAGTAGCTGTGTTTGTATATAAATATATATAGTGTGTGTGTGCATATATTCACATATATAAAAATATTTATAAAAAGTAGACTGATCAAGAGTGTTAAGACTTTAAACTGAGAAACACCAATTTTTACACCTGAATCACTAAAATACACATACTTGGTCATGGAAAATTCATGTGGTATTTCAAAATATGCACACGGTATTTAACAAAAACATATAAAAAAAAGTTATTTTTCATTATTAGTGTAAGAGAGGTTAATTGTAAAGTCCAGTGAGAGCTTTTTCTTTAGTAATACACTGTTAAAAGATGTTTTGTGTTGCATCTGCTATAGTGAAACCAAGCTAGGAACTGGGAGCAGACTGAAAACAGTAAAGCAGATGACACATGATTTATAAGGAGGTATCTACTGACTAACAGTGAAACTCAACGCTCTTCTTTATCAACATAATACTGACCGTACCAGTTCTTGAAATGGGGGGGCTGTTCCCTCACCTCACAATTGCAATGATAATGCCATTACAAAAAGTAACATTAGCTACTGCTCATATCTGTTTCTGAAGTTATACCTCTGGTCACTAACACACAAGAAGTCTAGTACTTCCTATTCAGAAGCTTCAGAACTGACTTTGTCCACTGTGTTTCCTCTATTTTCATCTTGATTCTGCCAGAATGTGGGACATTTATATTCAAAATTTCTATGTTTTATTCTTTTTCTAAACCCTTTTGGCCCACCAGCATAGCCTGCATTCTTCTGGATGAAGACAACTCTGTTCAAATCCTTGTGCCTCCTCTATACTGCTCTCACTGCAAAGCTGTTACTACAAACAGCTCTATAAACACAGCTGCTCTGGCTGGAGAATGACAAGACATTAACAGAAATAATGACACATCTTTGGACATTTATAATAAGGTTTCATGGTTGAAAACAGAGGAAAACTCGACATACTGACATGATTCAACTGTTTAAAGTGCAGCCCAACATTTCCCAGGTTTTTCTGCTTGTGCTGCCTCCGTTCCTGGGCCCTTCTCCCCCCTTGAAATGTACAGCTCTGGCTCCAACTAGCCGGGGTGCAGCTGAATGTCAGCGACCGGTGCCCCCAAGCCACCTTGTGCCCTCACTTGCCACCAGAATGACCAGCCTCCCATTCAGAGACATACCTCTCCAATGCCACTTTGTTAGGCACACCTGGATAATACTAAGCTGGGAGAAAACGCTCCACTCAGCATTCTTACTAACTGTATCTCACCTTTAAACCCATTGTTATCTACAGGTCAAAAAAAAAAAAAAAAGTTGTTGCTGAAATCTAAAATTAATTAGTATCTAATTGAAAATTCTATCAAAAATCTAAACTCCTGATGTCATGCTAGAGGGCTAACACGTGAAGCATTAAGTGCCAAAATACAGGTTGCCCTGAGAGGTGGAAAACAGAAGAGAGGTAATGCACAAAAAGGGGATAAAGTTTTAGATGTGCCAACAGATTACACATTATCCATGGACACACACATTTTCAAACTAAAGCATCATTTTTCCTTCAATATGTGCATGAGAACAGCCGAGCTGTTCTTTACAAAAAGGTCTACAAAGTCCCATACTGTATCTCAGTAGATACAGTAGTAGATGCCTAGGCAATGAGTAGATGCCTAGGGGGCAAAAAAACCCCAAAACTTATATAAAAATATTAACATAAACTGAAGATTTCCTCGACTACTCTCTCTCTGAAACAATTCACAGACTAGGGCCTTTCCAAGCCAGTTGTTTTATGTAGATATTTAACAGCCTACTTGTTTTTCTCTTCTATGAACTTGCACAGCTTCCCCTTGAACCACTGTCAACTTTTAGCAACTGAATATATAAATCTAACAGGAATTAGCTCATACAGAAGCTAGCTATTTATTCCCCAGTCGGGAATTACACATTTCAAATGTATGCAGGGA